ATATATATATATATATATATATATATATACAGATCTATCTATCTATCTATTTATCTAATCTATCTATCCATCTATCATTTATCTTACTCATTTAACATTGCTTCCATAATTGCTAGAATGAATAATTATCATTGTTTCTATGATAATTTCATTTTTCAGTTATTACAAATGAATTTTAATGATTTGTTTATTTACCATCAATATAGGATAAAGCAACAAGAACGAGCAGATGAATACCGTAATGAAGTGGAAGCGATGAAACGACGAGTTCAAGCACGAGCGCTTATTGTCGAACAACAAGAAATGCTAATTAAAATGCAGCGGTATTTGTATTTCTTTAATTTATTTATTACTTCTTGATAAGGTTTCTAATAAAAATAATAATAATAATAACAATTCCATTTTCTTTTTATAAAGCAACAATTACTTAAATTTATTAGCTAAATTTAAATATTATAAGTCAATTTTGTATGGTAAAACAAAACTATCAAAGTGAGTTAAGATTTAGCAATAATATAATTGATAAAATGTTAAGTTGTAAATCATTTTCAATAAATTTTATAATTCATATTATAAACATTTTCGAGAATCTGTAAAATAAAAGATCATAACATGACATATTTAATTCATTTCTTCAAATGTCATCTATCGGTGAAATGAAACGAAAGAATTCTTCATGTGATGATCATTTTTTTTTTAGTTGCTATTAATTATTTTAATTATCAAAGGGTAAGAAATTTATGTTAATAATTGTTATGATTATCTATTAATGATGTTGAATTAAAATGCTATAATTTAAAGAAATTTTTGATTTTTATTATTTGTTACATGTCCTTTTTTGTTCCTTTTTACTACATTTTCCTATAATTTAGAGAAATTAAAATTAATAAAAGTTAGATTATGATATATTTGATCCTTCACTTCAACTAACATCTATCAGTGATATGAAATGAGAGAATTTTTATTTTAATAAATGAAATGATAATAAGTTATATTGACGAGTATTTTTTTTTTTAAATGAATAAATTTCAATGTTAACTTCTCTTCTACCTATTACCATATTAAACTTTTCCTGAAATAAACAAAAATTTAAGATTTGAACGAAAATATAAGGAAACCATAATGGGAACACGAAGTAAAACACAAAAAGTTAGCAAACAAATTGAATATCGAAATGAATTGAAGAAAAGAATGATGATGACTAGTAGTATCGATCAACAATCATTGATAATTTCAACATTAAAAGTTGAATAACAATAAGATGGTATGTTATCTTCGAATATCATTTTATTATTTAGATAGATAAACATGAAATTATAAATAAGAATTGATTACTAGATTGTTTTGTTAGGAATTTCAACTAAATCCGTAAATAATCCTTGATTAATCTTTGACCAACTTGACCTTTGATTAATCCAAAGTAATCCAGAATTGACAAAGTAGTTTAGGATAGGATAAGCCTAACATTATGTTACAATTTCGATTAGCAATATTTTTTTGAATTTTAATATTTTATATTAAAATGAAAATTTATATATTTTAATACATGCATGATATTTTATGGTATATATTTTTAGCAAACTTCTAAAACGGAAGCCAATAACGATAGTTTGTTTATATCAGATAGTGCAGATAAAGGAAAAGAAGAAGATGATAACGAAGGTGATGATAATGAAGATAGTGATAATAATAATGGTGATGATGATGATGATGATGTTGATTATTATGAGGGTAGTAATGACAGTGATGATAATGATGGTGATGATAATTATGATGATGATGGTGACAATGATGGTGGTGGCAGTGATGATGATGAAGATGAGGAAAGCGAAAGTGAGAATGACTCCTTTGAAGAGATTTCTATATCCGGGTCAAAAAATAGTACAAGTTCATTGGAGAACTAGGAATTTGATTTTTTAACAATGAAAAAGAAAAAAGGATGACAGTTTATTTCGATTTAAATCATTCTAATTAATCAATTTGACGGAAATATTTTTTTTTTTTTTTTTTTTAAATTTGATTAACACTGCCATCGATAGTTGTATATTTATGATGAATAAAATTCTCACTAATTTCATCTGTAATTGATATTTTTATTATCTGAATAATTTATAAACCTCAAATTTTGACTAAAGATGATTCAATTTTTTTTTTTTTTGAATTACTCACATTCTTCATCCTGTTACCGGGAAAAAAAGAAAAGCAGAAATAGTTAATAAGATAGTTTGGCTATTTTGCAAAAAGATAAAAAGCAATGAGAAAAAGAAAATCAAATTACTTTCATTATACTTATTGGTGAGCTCATATTGTTTTAACCCCTTTTTTCATAGAAATTACTTGGAAGCTATGTTACCTCATTGGTGTATTATTATTGTTATTATTATTATTACTATTATTATTATTATTATCATTATCATTATTATTATTATT